ACACACACACACACACACACACACACACACACACACACACACACACACACACACACACACACACACACACACACATACACACGCACACACACACAAACACCCATACACCAATACAAACACAGACACACACACATTTGTACATTCACATGTATGCATATGCAGTGCACACGTCTACCACATACGCACACATGCACTATATACATACACGTGCGCCACATACACAGACGTGCACCTCATGCACATGCACGTACGCCACACATTTATGATTGGAATTTAAATTCCATCTAATATTTAAATTTCTAAGCATAATTGCTAAAATTATTTTAGCAAATTATTAGCGTATGTTAGTGTTAATTAAAAGTTTTCAAAATTTTAAATCCATAAAATTAACAATTATTTGTTGATGTGAAATGTTAGCAAGAATTTGTTTGATTTTTTTTGTTTCCCTTTAATGCAGCGTATTTTAAATGTATCCCATTTTATTTGCTAATTTCTACAATCATTTCGCTTAATTTAAGTGCTAATTGCGCAATTGGCGGCTTTGTAAAGTTTAGGGAAAATTTTTTGAAAATTTTGAATGAAAGATAAATTTTGATATTTAGTTGAATATTATGAAGATATGCTCGGATATTCAACGGAAAGTGCTTCAACATCACGTCATCAATATTCACATGAAACCGTAAGACAAGATTCCATGTTACAGAATGCTTATAATATCGAAAATATTGATGAATATGATCGTCCGGAAATAAGCCGTAATAGTTTAAGGTTTTTGTTTTTCTTTCCTAATGCTTTTTCGTTGTTAATCGAAAACATATTTAATCTAATATATATTTTTTTACGTATCTGAACATATTTAGTTTTTTATTTAATCAGTTTTTTCTTTTATTTTTTAATATTTAATATTTAATATTGAATTTTTCTTGCGTATCTAAATCATTAGTTTTGGAAATTATTTGCTGGAATAGTATTTCAAAATTCACGAGCCTGCAGATATTATTTGTCGGAAGTGTAATAAAGTAGTAATTCAGTTAATGATAGGTGATAATCATCATTTGCAGCTATGATAATGATAATGAATATCGTGACAGACAATATTTTGATCCAGTCGAGCAACTAGATGATTACTTTCATCCCAGCACATCTGGTGAGCAATATCAAGGTGATGAATATCATAATGGTGACGAGTTAAGGTAAAATTCTTTTTTTTCAATCACAGTATTCGAATATTTTTTTTAATGAAAATTTTACATGAGGTAACGTTTACATGAGGTATATGAGTATAAATATAGTATTTATCATTGATAACGAATCATTATCCTTGCCTTGGATAATTGTGATGACAAATTATTTAACTCTTACTTCTATCATTCACAGAGCTTATGCGGATTCCATGTGCTTTACTTCGACACTTATCAAATATCAATATTAATAAAATTAGCAATCATATAATTTATCATAATATTAAACTACTCATCAGCAAATTTATTGCAATAATAAATTTGATAGTTGCATAAATTAACTGTAATCATAAATCAATAATTGTTCAACTGTTAATGATAACATTGGAAGTTTTTAGTTATTTTTTTTCTGTTATTTTTATTTGTATTTTTTAAGAGAACGTTGGGATGATGATCAAAATATAGATTGGACCGAGGAGCAGGAGGAACCATTATCATACAACAGTCGTCCGCAACTAATGCATCCAACAATGTTTCCAATGAGAAGGTTTGTTATCATAATGAAAATTAAAATTTATAGTTTGCGATAAAATTTTTAGAATTTACATCTTACTTATCATAAATTTTACTTATGAATTCGTTTAAATTTAGGCTATACCAATGAGTTTTCTTTTATAAAAAACAATATTACCATTTTATCACACAATTATAACCAAAAAATCAATATTCATGTAAGAGAAAAAAAAAAGCATTTTTAGCAACCATACCATACAATGATAATAAGAAATCAATATTTCTATGAGAGAAAAAGTTTTTTAAATTATTATTATCATTTTTATCACACAATGATAACATTATTTAGATCTAAAAATAAAAAAAAAGTTGAAATTGTGTGGATATCGTGCTATTATCATTATTATTCTTTGAAGGATTAATTCTCTATAAAATTGAAATGGATTCAATTTGAGAAAAGTTTTGTTAAAGTCTAATTTTTTGAGATGAGCTTAATTTAAAAAACATTTTGTTAAAATTTCCAAATATTTTTTGTTGATAAAATCTATCTTTCTTGTGGAGGCATTATCACGATGATGATGATGATGTCGATAATGTTGATGATGTTGATGATGATGATGATTATAATGATGATGATGATGATGATGAGATGTGGCATAATTATCCAACAGTAATGCAGTGAGTGAATATCCTTCTTCATATTTTCATCCATCATTTGAAATTAAAATCGAAATATAGCAATAAAATTAAATTGATGGTTTAATGATTCTTTCCAATACTCATTCGAATTTTTTTTTTCAGAATAATAATAATTAGAAGATGGTTGTATGATGATAAGTGATATATAAAAATTCTTTTTAGTTTTTCCGGAGGAAATTAATTTGGCTATATTTAATCATAGTGGCTGAAAAAAAAAGAAAAATCTATTTTTCATCATCAAATAATACCATCTTAAGAAAAATTCTTGAAATCATATATTAATAATTTTGCAGAAACAAATCACCTGTAGCACCTATATGTCAATATGATATGCCACCATCAGAATCGGAACATGAATCAACCAGTCGTTTCGAAACGGATCAGTACATGAAGGAATCAGATGGTCAAACATCATTAGGTTTTAGTGGACAACAACAATCCATTCAACTACTACCAAATGGTTCTATTGATCCATTCTATAATACGACAAAATATGATCTTAACAAGCAGTATTTCTCCATCGAGAAGTATTTCATTCTTTTTAATTTCTTTCAAATCATTATTTTAATCAATACATATATTATAAATAAATAGGAATTATTGATTTTTGGATTTTTTAAAAGTTTGATTTTTTTCTGATGTTAAATGCTGGTAGTTGGCAATTTCTTTTCTTTTGTTTTCTTTTTTTTTTTTTTTTTTTTATTACT